CACGTTGCTTGATTATGACGACTTTGAAGACTACGCGCCCCTTTGCCGTGGATGGTCGTGAGGCCGTGGACCAGCTGGCGAGCCACCTTGGCAACGTTCAGAGCACAACGGGACCTGGCGCCGGGCAAACGTCGCTCAAGTCGACCTTGGCGCAGTACTCCGTCTCGATAAATACTTTGTCGGCGGTGGATTCGACTAAACTCCAATTCGCACAATCTTATGTTTTCGTTTGGATTTATCATCGAGGTTTTATTGACTTGTGGAAAAGAAATACTGTCGCCGTCAGATGATAATGGCTCTGAATTGGGCAGTCCGGATGATTGCCAACTGCAACCTCCATTAATTGATATCCGGATGGCCATTTATCGGATGTGAAAGGTGGATGTTGCCGAAGATACGAATTCTTGCCAGAGGAAGAAGACAACCGATATGGAGCGCGAGGACACGGGCGACGTCCCGCTGCTGATGGACATGGCCGACGACGCCATCGAAGAAGCGCGGGAAGAGCGCATGAGCTTCATGGAGAAGTACATCACGAGCAAGATGCAGCCAGGCTCAGGTACATTCTCCCGGTCATGCATGATGGGACGATGGGAACCGAGCTTCCTCGTAGTCAAGGGCTCCATGTTCACGATGACCGTCTCCATCGTGGGGGCTGGCGTCCTCGCCTTGCCGTATGCAGTCAACCAGGTCGGCGTCCTCCTCGGTATCGGCATCATCCTCCTCGGCGCCTTCCTTGCCTACTACTCGCTCTTTCTTCTCGTCGTCTGCAGCGATATCTCGCATGAGACGTCGTATATGCACTTGGCTAACGCCGCGTCTGGCCCTCGGTAGATATGTCGTCTTGCCATATGCATCGGCTCATGCGTATGCGTAGGCTGGCGATGTTTGTCCAAGGCGCCATCTGCATGAACCTTCTGGGAACCTCGGTTGGCTTTTTCGTTGCGAGCTCGGAGCTCATTCTTCTCGTTGTCAAGGTACCTGCGCTATCGCTCTCTATTTTTTGCTCGCTCAATATGCTTGCTACGTAGCCAACGCAGTACTTTGGCGCCATTGAAATGGGCTCGGACCGGGACACACGCAACGCGCTCATCGGCGCGCTCTGTCTTTGCTTCGTGTACCCGCTCTCGCTCTTCCGGTCGCTCTCGTCGCTGCGCTTCTCGTCGCTCTTCTCGATCCTGTGCATTGTCTTTTTGACCATCACAGTCGTCGCCAAGTACTTTCAGTTCGCGCACCTCGGGTTCGCGCCCGACTTTTGGTACCAGTGCAAGCACCTGACCATGTTCAACTTTAAGCCATCCCGGATTCTCACGGCCGTGCCACTCGTGGTATTTGCCTACACGTGTCATCCGAACGTGCTGCCCATTTACCTTCAGCTCAAGCGACGCTCGAGCCCCCGCATGTACAAGGTTGTCGTTTCGAAGTAAGTTCATGCAATTCATTTCGCTTTGTAGGTTGCGCGCCGTAGCTTGGGTGTGGCGAGTCTCGTCTACTTGGCGCTGAGCGTGTTTGCGGTCTTCACCTTTGGCGACGCAACGCGGTCGAATTTTCTCGAAAACGACTACCACGGCGACGCTGCGATCACAGCAGGCTGCATCTTCCTCGGCGTCTCAATCGTCGTGACGACACCGCTCTACATCCACACGCTGCGCAACTGCATCAATGAGGTGTGCTCTATCCCCTCCGTACTTTCTCACGTGCGGAATTAGGCCATTTGGGGCAACGCTGGGAGCACCGTGCGCCATGTCCTTCTAACGACGCTCCTTGTTGCGATTGCCGTGACGCTTGCGCTGCTCGCAACCGACATTGCTTCGGTGCTCGGCATCCTCGGCGCGACGACCAACCCAATCATTTGCTTTGTCATGCCGGCGTTCTACATTTGTCAACTCGGTGACGCGTCGCTGATTTGCCACAAGTACACGGCGGTCACCATTTGTCTCTTGCTGTGCGCGCTCTCGGGCTGCAGCTTATTCCAGCAGCTGCACCACACACCAACGCAGAGCAGCGGGTTCTTTGATTAGGAGCCATAACATAAGGATGCTGGGCACTACGAACCACTTCCATCCGTGGAGGGCCGCTCGGTCGACGCTTTGAGCTGCGAGAGCAGCGCGGACGCTTCGGTTTTCGGGGCGGCGTCGGCCAGCAACGTGCGGAGCTTGTCGATTTGCTGCAACATCTGTTCTTTTTCCTTCTTGCTTTGCCGCGCCAAGAGCTTGGCGGCCAATACTTGCTTGTCGAGCGCCCGTAGTTTGAGATCGCGCTCGTCGATGGCTTGCTGCCATGTGACTTGCTGCACGGCCAGTTCTTGCCTAGTCATGTTCTATATATTGTCTTCCGAACACTGACAAATTGGAGGTACTTACGCGCTTGGCCCTGGTGCAGAGGACGTCGCAACGACAACCTACGCGAGCAGCCATGCATTTGCAAGTTGAGTGGAGAAGCGCCTAGTACCTTGGCCGCCGTCGCGGCGGCAAGTGCGGCGTTCAACTCGACGATTTTTTGCGACATGGACTCTAGCACAAGTCGACTTGACAAGGTGGCGTGGTCGTCGCGAGTACCCTTGGCCTGCAGCAGGGTGTCGGTGGCTGCGCGGGCAGTCTGCGCTTCATCAGTGGCGGTTTGCAGCTGCTTCTCAAGGGCTCGTAGCTGCGCATGCAGATGGGACCGGTCGAGACACCATTTCTTTTGCTGATCTTCAAGCTGCGTTTGGAGGTCGATTTCGTGCGCGTGCATGGCTTTGATGCGTTCGAGGAGGTCGAGCTTTTCGCGATCGCTCTGTGCCACATCGTTGGCATGGGCTTCCTTGAAAAAGACGAGCTCGGCTTCGGCTTGCGCTCGCGCCTCGCTCTCCTACGCGCAACAGCGTGACTTCTGACGCCATGAGCTAGAACCCACTTTTTCCTTTTCCTGGATGAGTTGGATCGAGTCGTGTTGGGTCTTCTCAAGTGCTTCCTTGCTCGCTGCGTACTTTTGCTTGGCCCGATCGTACTTGTCTTGAATGCTACAGCACCATGTCAGCACCGACTCTGCACATACTCGAACGAGATATTTATGTACGCCGTAAGCTGTGCAAGCTGTTGGTGCAGCGTCTCGATCTCGGTCAACTGTGCGTGGAGGTTGACATCTTTGGACGCAATAGCAATGCGAAGTCGGTCCACTTCTTCTTGAAGGGTCTTGACAGCTTCCTACCGCAGAGCTCCTCGGTTAGGTGCACCCTTGACGGCGAGGATCGCACCGCGTCGTTGGCGGCGATAGACTTGGCCTCGCCGTCCTCGCACACGTCGCCGTTGTCTTGGGGCGACACTTCCTCTTTGGCGTTGGAGGTCATCGCTGCTTTGGTCGACTTGAGGCTTTGAACAGCGCGCTTGTATTTCTTATCTAGATCGAGAAACTCGAGCTCGAGCTCCTCGCGAGTCTTGGGCCGGAATCGCTTGGGGCCACTGAGTGTCTTTTTGAGCACAAATTCGTTCACCTATGGTACGGCTTCTGTCAGTGGAATGCACCATGCGAGTCTCGTGTACAAGCGGCAACGAGTCTTGGAACTCGGGGGCTTTGGTCGCGAGCGCCTCTTTGAGGACGTCGATGAGCAAATCTTGCTCGCGCTGCTTCTTGCGCAAGCTTTGGATGAGTGCGGACCGGCGGTGTTCGTTGTCTTGCGCCTTCATGACACCCACTTGCTCTTGCAGCTGGTGGATCGACTTCATGAGCGATCGGACTTTTTGCGAATGAATGTTGTTGAGCGCTTGCGTCTTGGCTAAAGACACATATGGTTCCGCATGCGAGAGCAGAACGAATGAGATCACCTTCGAGAAGCGCGTTCGTGCCATCGCCACTCTCGACAAGGCTCTGGAGCTCGAGCAGCTTCTTGAGCTCCTTCTCACGCTGCTGCTGCTCGGCAATGGTTTTTTGCGCTTCGGCCAGCGCACGCTAGACACACGCAGCATTGTCGGCGAGGCCCTCCTGTACTAGTACCCCGTACCTGGGTCTGCTTGAGCGGATCCTGGGCTCCGCTCTCGGGCCTTTTGCGCTCGGTCGCTGCTGCGCGCATGCTAGCTCCGTTTAAATCTCGAACGTTTCAACCCACCGTACCCTCACCTCTGTGCACAAGGCAAGCTATAACAACTCACCGCTGAGGTGGAATGCTCGATCCGGCGCGTTGTCATGTAGATGAACCAGTGATTCGTCACCTCGTTGACCCTATAAAGGCTCCGTGGTCACGGCCAGCTGCGTTAACGCGCCAACGCCTCCCTGGGTTGTCGTTGGAACTGGACGTGGCTCGCGATCTTCAAGCGGCGCCGAAAGAGCAAAAATTAGTGTTACGCATTGGCTCCTCGTGTGGCTCTGTAGAATAGTCCAAACAAACGTGATCACTACTGCGGTGCGCGCGCATCAATGGCTTGCATTGCATACATGCACTGCTACAGAGCGACGCGTTATACTCTCTGCGCAACCGAATAACGCTATTCGATAGTCGCAAATAGTGTTTTATTCATCGAACTTTTTTCGCGCGATGGAAGAAAAGCGGGACTTTCAGAATCGCCACGGCTGACGCCAACACACACCGTTGATACCATGGGTCTCACCAAGAGCAAGGTTGAAGCACCTCCGGTGGCACCCGCGTCGGGCCCTACGCTGGGCGCAACCCAACCATCGACAGTGACCAAAGGTGGAGCGAAGAAGAGCAAGAAGGCAGCATCCACTGTCGACGACGGCAACGAGGCACCCAAGCACGTCGACGACGACACGGGTGAAATGATCCAGCTCTTCATGTACGAGCGGTGCCCGCGCTCAATCGTGCACCACTACATTCCCGCTAACTTGCCCATGATGCCGCTTTTCACAGCGGCGTACGTCTCGGACTGCAATAACACGTGGAAGTACATCTTGGGCTCGGCGACGGACCGCATGAAGGAATTTCGCAAGTCGGGTATCATTCTCTTCTACGACGAGTTCTTCTTTCGCCTCTTCCAGCGCGACTCAACGTTCCAAGAGGTGTTTCCTGACGTGAAGCGCCGCGGCGAGATCCTCATCAAGGCGCTTACACTCATGCTCAAGTGCTCGACCGAAGACAACGCGCGCCTCGTCAACAAGATTCGATACCTTGGCCACCGCCACCGGTTCTTTCCCAAGATCCGCGCCTACCAATTTGCCACGTACACGAGCACGATGATCGAAGTGCTCATGTACTGGCTCGGCGAGCTTGCGACGCCCGACATTGCCGAGGCCTGGTCCAACGTCGTGTGCTTCTTCATGAAGCACATGCTCGAGTCCTTCTTGACCAACCGCGTCGATCCGTACGAGAGCTACCAAAACACGATCATCGAGCATATGCGCGCGCTGAGCGAAATCGAGCAAGACGACGCGTCCAACAAACCGTCCTCAAGTCGCTCCAGCCGCGTCTCGCGCCAATCCGTCGCGAGATAAGATCGCAACACACTCGCCTCTATAGTATGACGTTAACACGAGTGCGACGCATTTGTCAACACTAGTACGGGTCGTTAAAGCTGATGTGCCTTCAGCCGTTCCCTGGTGATGTCGGCCGACAACGGAAGGGTGCCACAGCCTCGTTAGACTCGAATCGCGAGACGTCGATTCTACGCGCCTTTATGGACGCGGGTTGAGTTCGCGTCCTAGCCAAGACGAATTTCTTCGGCCACTTGAAGTTGCACCAAACGTTCCCGCCATCTTGCCTTTCCGGATACGCGAAGAAGATAAAAATAGAACAGGCTGGCCGTATCGCATTACATACAAAATACAAGTCTACTGGGAGCGGTTCAGGGCACGGTATCCGGATTCGTAAGCTTCGATATCGACGGTTGCTCACTACTGCAGTCGGGTGTTGGGAGCTTGGTGGTCAGAAATGGGGCCGAGTGGACCTACGCCAATGGAGACTCCGATGATGACGACGACGCCGGTCCGGAAGCACATGGACCCGACGAGCGACGACGAGCGCGTGGCCGCCCTCGAGGCCGCGCTCCGGGACAAGGAGCACGAGCTGCTCGTGCTGCAGCGCAGCCACGACGAGTACGTGCACTCGAGCTGTGAGATCGAGCACGAGCTCGAGCTCGAGGTCCAGCGCCTCGAAGGCGCACGCGCCAAGGCCGACGAACAGCTGGAGAAAGCGCTGGACGATGCACGCAGCGCGCAGCAGGCCGTGCTCACCGCTAACAAGGAAGTCGTGCAACTTCAACGCGTCGTCGAGGAGCTCACGAAGACGACGAGCACGCTCAAGACCCAAGTACAAGTGCTTGAGCAGCACAACGACGACCTCGAGCGCCGCGAGCGGGAGCTCCAAGCGTCCGTCGAAGACCTCGAGGCACGGCTCGACGACAGCATGGAGCAATACGTCTTTCTGCAGCAAGAGCGCGACGACCTGCGGAAGCAGTCGGATTTCCGGCCGCCATCAAAGCTGGCGCCGGTCACGGTCAACATGGACCTCGCCAAACCCGCGATCCCGATCGCGTTCCATGCGATCGAGTCGCCTGTGCCGCCAACGCGCCGGGTGTCGATGCCCGCCCGGGTGTACATCTCTGCTAAAAACAGTTGCGGGCCCGTATGTGCCATCATGTAGTGGTACTCGACCGCCGTCCGTCGCTCTCGTTGTCCTCGTCCACGTACACTATACTCTGATCTTAGACGATACTAATATACACGCCTTTATTTATTTACGGCCGCCACGTAGGTTTCAATTTCAGAGGAGCCGACCTCGGCACCCAGCGCTTGCGGCGCAACGGCGCGGGCGGCGGGACACGCCGACAGGACACAGCGACCCAGCGAGCCCAGGCCCTGCGCACGTGACGTTGCGCCAGCAGAGTAGCAAGCGTGCCGGCGCTCGTGTGGCAGCGTAGCACGATGCGCACTGCGTCGGCACAGAGCTTCGCAACGTACTGCGCGATCGCAGCTGCCTCGTGCAGCCGCCGGGTGCGGGCCTTGCCGACGAGACGCTTCAGTAGCGCGATGACTGCTTGGCACTTGATGCGACGATGGAGGCAAAACGTGCTAGTACACGCGAGGTTGAGATGTGAACCCAAGGTTCTCGAACGTACCCATGGCGCGCCAATGACGTGACGTATTGCCAGCGGATGACAGCAGCAGTCATCCGCCGACGCTGATTCTTGCGCAAAAGACGAAGCATGTACTACTCCACACGCGTGCAGATGGGATGGATATGGATGTTCTGCGTCTACCGTCACGGCCCGACGGAACTGGACGACCCACGCTAATGCCGCAACTTGCTCCTCCAGCGTGTCGTGATACACGTATCGAGCCCACTGCCGCCACACCTGGGCAGCTTAAGCCATTAGTGAACAGCAGTGCCGTCGCGGTATACCGTGCGAGTCCGAGCTCTGGCGTGGTGCCGAGCAAGCGCACGTCCCAAGGCGGTGACGGTCGTCGCGGCGTGGCGCCACACCGACAAGCCGCGAGTCAAGAGCAGACGTTGGCGGCGCAAAACGGCAATACGGAGCGTGCGATCCCGCCTATGTGTCGTGGCAGCAGTGCAGCGAGTCCACGTGTACCTCGTTCGAATGCGATGGTCGTAGATGGCTTGGTGTTTGGCAGCGATCGCAAAGCGCCGCCAGCATTTCCAGTACGCGCGCATCGCGGGCAAAAGCACGCAACGGCGGTGCACAGCAACGAGCGTCTCCATCTTCACGAGGCTGTCGACGTTTCAGCTCGAGTGGAGTGGGACGTCGACTTGGCGATCTTCGAGGGACGTGAAGACCATCAAGAAAATTCTGGGGCGTCAACAAGTTGTGACGTGGGAGTGAGCAGCGGGAGTGGGTCGTACCCCTTTGAAAAGGCAATCGGTCGCCTGATATCTGACATGCGCGTCAACATCCAGCTGTTCGGCGCGGATCATCGTGACGTGGCCGATTGCGAAATAACGCACGCGTCGCTTCTTCCTGCGTCAACAAGGGCGTCGGCCATTACTGGTAGTCGAACGACATTCGAGGTGCGTGGCCAATGCAAGCGCTTGCAGTGGTATGCTCCAGCGTCCTCTTTGCTTCCTCGTCTCGGCTACGGCACCCAGCACTTCTCGCAACGGTGGTAATATATAAACTAAGGTTACTAGGACCGGTATATATTACGGCACCAAGTGTTCTTGGTGTTCTTTGTCGACGACGATTCGTACACGTCTTCTGATTTCTTGTGTATTGATTCCGCATCGGGATGCAACAACGTACACCCAAGTGTACCGAGCGGGTTGAGGCGGGTTGAGGCGACCGACCGCGGGCGTGGTGATATAAAAAAAGCTGCCACCCACGGTCGCGACTTGGTTGACGTGCTGGCCAATTTGCGTGCCCAGCGACGGTCTAAATGTTGAGAGGATGCGCTCCCGCGACTCCATTTGTGGGGAGCCAAGTCCGCGGGGCTGTACGTGCTAGGGACGCAACAAACGGTGCCATGTCAAGCTTTCGTATGGAATGATTTCGTGTTGCAAGAATCGACTCGGGTCGGCTGCTTGGACAGTCCCACATGTCGGATTAGATGGTAAACATTTCTGATCCGCCGGAATGCGGCTTCGAGATTGCACTTTGAAAAATGAGCGCCCAGCTGCTCAAGTCGTTTGTGCTCACACACGAGGAGGAGGTCGCGTTCGGCGCCCGCGCCCGGCACCTTCTCCATACCGCGTTGGCCGCAGCGCCCAAGGCGGCGCCGTCCCTCGACAAGATGGGCCTGCGTGTCTACAAGGACGACATGAAGAAGGAGTATCTCTGCACGGGGCTCGTCCACGCCAGCCTCCGCGACGTGGCCTACGCGCTCTACACGGACTGCACGCGTGACGTCAAGACCGTCGCCGCGCTTCTGCTCGGCAAGGCGTACCAAGACGCCGCCGTCTTGCGCGCACTGCAGACGCGCACGGACGCCGACCCGTTCCAATTCGTTGGCGCCAAACTCGTGTCCATCAACAAGACGGGGATCTTTGGCAAGTCCAAGGAGCTCGTGTACCTCGAGGTAGATCTTATTGCGTTCGATGCTGTATGGGTATTGATATTTTGTATAGTACTCTGGCACGTACGTCCCACCGGGAAGCGCGTCGTCGCCCGTGCTCTACCAGATTCTCGAGTGGATCGATATGACCCACTACTTGTCGCCAGCCAACGTATGGCATCGCGCGATTCGCCCCGCGTGCTCGATGGTCCACCTCTTTCGCCCCGTGGCCGGCAACGCCCGCGTCGTATCGCTCTTGTCGCAAACGACCTATGCGCGCGAGGTGCCTGTGTACCTCCGCAACCTCAATACGACCGCTTCGTACTGCGACCACGTGCAGCAGCTCTCGACGCTGCCGGCGTCGAGGCGGCTCTTGGACGGCAACTGCCTCGTCCAGCACTGGGTGCCAGAGGCCAAGGCGTGTAGCGTCTGCGCGCTCTCGTTCAAGGCGCTCCGACCAAAGTACAATTGCCGGTCCTGCGGCGACGTCATGTGCTCCAACTGCACACATCAATTGCAGGCGCCAACGACGATCAACAAATACTGCACCAAGTGTGTGCTGGCGGCGCGGCAGCGCGAGGGTCCGCCACCGTCCGTGGCGCAAATGCCGGCGCCAGCGCCGCTCGACCGCGTCCCGACTTTTCTCTACACGGCCATGGACGATCTCGATGACGACGACGCGACGATGACGAGCTGTCAAGACCTCTTATCGCAGCGACCCGCGAACGACCCGTTGCCCGAGACGTTTGCGCACATCGAGAAAAAGCTCGCAGAGCAGAGCTCGCTCTTGTCGTCGATGCGGGATGTGATGGAGCGAAGGCGGCAGTCGCTCGTGTCGTCGTCCGTGTCGGGCACCGAGTACGACTCGTGTGCGAGCTTTGATCCGGACAGTCTCCTCTCGCTCGGCGACGACGACGACGATGACAACACGCGCTTTGAAGAAGTTGTCGGTTAATGCTGCCACCCGGTTAATGCTGCCACCCTACACCCTTATTAATTGTTATCTAAATCGAATCATAAATGAACAAACGCAAATCTGGATTGTTCGTCAAATATACACACTACTGTACCGTCTATCTCTAGCCCCTTGCGAAGATTCCTACAAGGCCATGGGCTCGACCGCGCTGCTCTCATCATCGCCGTCCAAGAAGTGGAAGAGCCGATGCGTCATTTCGACGCCGAGGAAGAGACAGCCGTTCGCGGGGAACGACCGAAGCACGGCAGCCGACCAACCGCGGTAAAACCCACGAAGGCCATACTCGTGCCACACGTGGCGGGCTGCGGCGCTAAAAGTGACGTTGTTGCCGACTTGCATGCGGGACTTGACGACGTCGACGGGGAAGACGATGCTCCAGCCGGTCGCACCGGCGCAACCACCGGCCGTGAGCACCGCGAGCGGGTGCAGCTCGCGCTTGGAGCTCGCGTCGTGAAGCGCCATGAACCAGCTCGTGTACACGTCATAGGCGCCAAAGAAGCAAAAGTTGAAGGGCACGTCCCGCAAAAGGACAGCGGGCAGGCCCGCAAGAAGACCCCGCGGACCATTTTCGCGCAGAACATTCTGGACGCACTTGCGCACGCCGAGCGACGTGGTGCCGTGGTCGGACTGAAGGCGGCACTTGATGACTTCGGCGGGCGTGATCGCGGTCGCCGAGAAGATCGCGGCCGCGCTCCCGAGCAGCGCCTCGTCAATCGTGCGCAAATTCGCGTCGGATGCAAAGATGACGCGCTTCAAGATGCCGTTGGCCGAAAAGAGCACTGCGTTCTCGACGATCGCCGATGAGAGCGCGGGAATCGCGCCCTTCCACAGCGACCGCAGCCCTTCCTGGCGCACGATCTTGGTCATGCAGTCGGTGACGCCAGCATACTCGGGCGGCATCGACTGCGTCTGGAGGCGCACCTTGACCACATCGAATGGCAGGCCTGCGTAGACGTTGCAGAAGGCGCCGACGACGCCGCTCGTTGTCTCGCGGAGGTCGAGCATGCGGGCTGGAGATGCTGGAATGCTGGACGGTAGCCAATCGCAGTGGCCCAACCGCCGGATACTTCAAGTCGCACCTTCTTGACGGTCGCCGGATCGTATCCGGATGACCTTGTATAAACCACCACGTGAAAAATCTCTGCCGCCACTTCTGGTTGGTCAAAGCGCCTCGGAGGGTTTGTCCCAGTGTAAAACCACGTGTAAAATGGGTTTTATCGAGCACTGGTTTGTCCCACGGTGTAGAACGGCAAACTCGGAACCATGGCGAAGCATGGCACGGCGGCGGTCTACGGCGCGCTGCAGCGGTGCGATGGCTCGACACATTGGCAGCTCGTGACGTATATGTAGGCTACCGTATGTGAACACGGCGCCCGAGATCCTCGAAATGCGCTTCTGGCGCCACACGATCAAGGAAAAGGTCATGGCCGACCCGATCCGGCGCACGAAGAACCAAACCGCACGGCTCATCAACTACCAGCTCTCCAAGCTCGCGGGCGTGACGTCGCACGTTGCAAAGGCCTTTCCGCCGCTCAAGACGCTGCACTCGTTCGAACATGTGCGGCTTCTCGTCGCCTGGTCCATCTCAAGCATCGCGTCTCGTAGGAAGTTGTGCTCTTGACGCTCGGACAAGGCGCGTACGAAAACCAATTGCAGTCGCTGCGCCGCGTCTACGCGGAATTGCACAACACGGGCAAGGCCTTTGAAGTCGAGAACAAGGACGTGCTCACGCAGGTCGAGTCCCAGGACTGCATGGCGCGCTGCCTCGACGTATGTACTCGCAAGCATCGATGCACACATCTCATGCGGCACATGGTAGGCGCTCAAGGAAGTCGTACACCAAAAGGCGCCGGTTCTGAAAGAGACGGCAGAGATGGCCAAGGTACTGAAATCAAGGTAGAGCATGATTAATCATGCAGTAGACATTGCGAAAACTGCCCGAGATCGACTTGGACAAGCCGATTTTCGCACTCGTGGGCTCGCCCAACGTTGGTACGAACTGGTGCTCGCTCGTCAACCGTAGCGAACCTCGCTATAGGCAAGTCGTCGCTCGTCAAGGCGCTGACGACTGCCAATCCCGAGGTGCATGCATTTTATGATTTTTTTTGTCAAATCTCAAGGACGTTTAGATTGCGAATTATCCGTTCACGACGCGGGGCGTGACGATCGGCCACATCTTTATTAATGGTGTGTCGTACCAGGCACGTTTTTACCATGTCGTGCAAATTCTTATTCTGTGCCGCAGGTCGCCGACACGCCGGGTCTCTTGTTTCGCCCAGATGAGAAGCGCAATGCAATCGAGAAACTCGCGCTGAGCATTTTGACCAAGACGGACGCGGTTCGCATCTTCCTTCCTAAACATGCTGACACGAAATGTGTAGACGGTCGGCTTTGTGATCGACCCGACGGGCGCGTCCGGCACGTCGGTGGCCGAGCAGCTCGCGCTCCGCGCCGAGCTCCGTGACAAGTTGCCGTGGAAAGCGCAGCATACGTGGATTGACATTCTTTCCAAGATTGACGTTCCATTTGACGCGTCGACGCTCACGCCCGAGTGCGTCATTGTGAATCGGTCGCCGCGATGTACTAACGTCACTTGTGTCATAGGCAGCAGAGTGAGCTCGCGACATTCCTCCGCGTCTCGACGCAAACTAACGAAGGTCTTTTGGCGGTCGATGCCGCGGCCCGCGACATGCTGCTGCTGCCGCCCGAGGTCAAGGCGGACACGGCGTAGAGAGAAGCAACGTATACCATTAGGAATAGTCGAGTGGCCGCGACGGCAAGAACGACATCAACACGATGTTTTCGTCCGTGCTCTTGAGAGTTTGCGCCATGAACGACATGCTATGCGCCGCGTCGTCAAGCACGATTGAGTAGCGGGCTTTGGACGTCAAAACGCTTGCGTCCACCGTGATCGCGACGCCGCGTTGGCTCGACATGCACTGCACAATGTACGGCTGGCTGGGCGACGCGGTGACGCGTAATGGCTCGCCACGCGGTAGCTCGGCGACGTGCGTCGCGCGCCCGAGCCGATCAACGCTGTAGAGTTCGTAGACCTCGTCGCCAATGCAGTTGGAGGCAAAGGCCATGCGAATGCCTTCGGGGGTGGCATCGCTCACAGCGACGTCGGTGGCCGCAATCGGGAACCGGTACCCCGGCTCCATCATGTTACGCTCCAAGCCAAAGTAGACAAGCTGAATGCCTTGAAAGGAATTTGGCGTCTACAAGCACGCACGCCAATGACCATCCAACCGGTAGATTGTCGTACGGTGGGTCGTCCAACAACGTGCCGCTCGGACGTGGCACCGGGTTCGAGGCGGAACTCGAGGATGCGCCGGGCGCTGAGCTTTGTACAGAACACTTCAAGGTCGTCCTCCGACTGGTTGTTGAAGACGACACCAACCGAGGCGAGCGCGTCGCTCAGCGGTGGTTTTGGCGTGGTTGTGCTGTGAAGCGCGCGCCGATTGCGTCGGGAAATCGGTGTCTCCTATGCAAAACGAAGTGTGCTCAGGGATTTCGTGAGGCCATACGTACAACGGGTCGCTTGGAGGCGAGAGAGAGCGGCGACGGGTTGAACGACGGATCGTACGGTCCTTCGACCACTTGGTTGTTTGCCGGGTGATGCACCGACGTGGATCGGACAAGCACGACGGGCTTTGCGAGCGGCGTGGCCCCGTCACCACCTCGCTGCCGTCGCGAGCTACGCGTAGCTTTTGGCGGTGCCCATGGCGTGATGCTGACTGTCGACGGGGTGTGGAACCGGAAGGCAGGAAAGAGGTTCTCCATGCGGCGATTGCAGCTGCTCGACTGCGAACAACGCTATATTTTTAGATTGGATCACATGGGAGTCCTCTGCTGCCAGATTTCGACGCTCAAAAGGCAATTAGACCTCCCCAGCGTGGCATGTGTGCATACCGCGGGCCATTAAACCATCCCTAGGTGTAACTTTGAGCCAAGACGCGGGTCCATTTGATGCTGTGGACATGTTGAGTCTCTCGGCCGACTTGGGAAGAACTGTCTCACAACCACCTCGCAACCACCTCGCGTCTTCTTTGTTTATGATGTTTTAGTATCGCTCTACTGTTGTACTATGTTTTTGCGAGCGCAGAGAGGAAGCAACGCCGTGGGGTGATTGAAGAGAGAGTTGTGGGTTTGTGAGCCCCTTGTCTTCTTTCTGGAAATCCTAGTAAAAAGAGTAGGCTGCCATTATACCTGGATGTACACTCAAGCACAAACTCTCATTGCAAAGCTACGGCTGCTACAGTGTCGTCTACGATGTGATTAGGACCTTACATAGCTACCGTACATTGCCGATGAATTCTGCGTTTTTCCAGCCGTTCCGCAAGCGAAACCAACCGACGAGTGGCCGCGTCTTCCGAGGCGCGGCCGTCGGTCATCCAGGCCGCGGCAGAAGGAGGCCTCGTCAGTCGACGCCTTCGCCTGCTGCGAGCCGCGCCATCAGACCAAGCGACGCTGAGCGATGAGGAACTCATCGCCACGCTGTACAAGACGACATATCCAAGGAAGACGACGACGTGCTCCAGCCAGACAACAACAAAAGCAACGGTCAGGGGGACCACAACCAACATCAGATCCAATACAGAACCAACATGAGCACCGAACACAGAGCACAAAGCAAAGAGCACAGAGCACAGAGCACAAATCAGCCAGCCGCCGCCGCCACCGCCACCGCCAACGCCACCGCCAACGCCATCAGCCATCAACCTTCAGCAGCAAGATCCATATCATCCGGCCCCGAATCCCATCAAACAAAGAAAACATATCCAACGCGCCACGCCGCCAAAACGAAAACAAATGCATCCAGTCAACCGCCCAGCTCCACGCCTCCAGAACGAAAAACAAGTCAACAAGCCCAGCGCCAAAACGAAAACACTTTCATGTACGACGACCGACCAAGACGCCAAAACAAAACAACTCGACCAGTGTCGGCACCACGAGCATTCAACCTTCATCAACATCAGACCACCCGACATTTCGCGTCGGTCGCCAAGCCAACGACTTCCATCAGCCCGCGTGTTCTAGTGAGCCATCCGTGTACCTTCGGGTGCTGCAGCTCCAGGTCGGCCCACGGTCGCATCCGAGTGGAACTCCGCAACACGGGTCTGGTTCACGACCGCGGACGCTGCTGGTCGATCAAGTAGCTTGACGATGGACCACATAGAAAAAGAAAAACCCATAGTGGTAATCCCGGTAATACACCGCCTGACAAGTACATTGTCGATGAACTTTTGAAACGCCACGTCATTTTATTTATGGCAAAATGTGGTATAGCGTGGCAATTGCCATTTTAGAGACTGAACCGGTTTCATTTAACCGGTTTGCCCTTTGGATTGGCCAAAGCTGTCGGAACCAACAAGAACGAATGCGAGCGATCCA